TTAATACTCTTCAACATAAGTATGTCTTCAAACCTACCGAAACAATTCTTAGTAAGTAAACCCATACAGCACAAACCTTGCAGTTACATTGCAGCTACATTACAGCAATGTTGCAATATTGTAGCAATGTTATTGCAATGTAACTGCAAGTTTTGTGCTGTACGGGAAAGAGTTTCTATTTTCAAGTAAATAAACTGTTGAAGAGCTTTCAGTTTCACTCTGCTTTCTCATGCAAAGACTGTATCAGACTATGGCTGTTTTCCTCTTAGGAGACACAAATTAACACACTCGAAAACAGTTCGCCACTGTAAAATGGCAAAGATTTAATGAACAGGATTTTAAGAGAAAATTCTATCAAGATACTCGGAACGCATGTGTTCGTCGATCAAAAACTCACTCCTCTCGAGCAGAGACGAAAAGTGTCGATTGAATTTGAATTAAATTCCAAATGGAAAGTGACGTGCGTCGATTTGTGTCGAAAATGCAGACTGCGTTTACTAAAAGGAAAGTAGCCTGTGCATCAAAACCCGAGGATTGCTAGCTGAAAATTAGAATTTGACCAATTAAACATATAAATTCAATTTTTAATTCCAAACTTTAATTCACAATCCTTCATCTCTATTGTAGTCCGATACAAGCTTTAAGCCGAATCTGTAATGTACTCTTTGCGTATAGAAACATTCTATTTGTAGTCAATAAATACGTTTCAAAAATTTGCGCAAGTGGATAAATTGTATATTATACACTGTACAATCGTACACTGTCGACAAATTTTTCAAGCGTTTCGATTTGTTTATATAAAATAGAACGTTTCTAGATGCAGATAGCACATTGTAGATTTATGATTGAATAAAGAGTGCAGCAAAGCCTCTCAACGGATCATTTGGTCTGAAGATACGCAAAGTACACGTGAGTTTTAGTCCCGGTCTACAAGTTATTATGTCAGAACTAGATGTTTGCCGATCCTTTTTCTTTAGACAAATACTTTTCGTTAGACCAACAACTCATTGTAGACCGGGCCTTAGGAAATTTACCTGGAGCTATTTTATATTTGCTGAGAAGATCTATTTTAATTGTTTCAATATTTTTTGAGGACGTATGTCGCAAAGTATGTCACATAGAAACATAATCGTTAAACTTGCAATAAAACAATAATTCTCGGATTAAACATTCCGAGAAAACAGAGCATCAATTGATGTAACAACGACATTAAAACTGTTGACTTATCGTTTTCATCTCTCTTGGAATAATACGTAATGTACTAATTATAATATGACAATTAAAAGCAAATACACCATATTAATTAATACGAAAAATCTCTCGTACAATTGTCTCATGGTTTTGATTTTATTTCAGATTGCTTGAGCGAGATTCTGTTGCGATTTGCCCGTAAATATGTTTGGACAAACTGGAAACGCATCGTTCAGTACGTATATGAAAAATCTCCCAAGGGACTTAATTAGGAGTTTTGTTTTTTTTAATTATTATTAAAACGTGTATGTTTACACCTTTAGGTGGATTTAGCACAGCTACGCAAAACAGTCCGTTCGGTCAATCTGCATTTGGTAAACCCATTACTACAACAAGTTTTGGTAGTGGCGCAACACCTGTCTTTGGTAGTAGCAATACTTCATCACTCTTTAGTTCTAAGCCCACAGGTTCTACCACAGGTGGCTTGTTTGGAAATGCCACAACGCCACCGGCATTTAGACAGCCATCTAATACTCAACCGTCTTTTGGAGGTAGCAATTTATTGACTGTTTCACTTGCATGTACAACAACTTAAAAAAAAAAATTAAACTCTCCTGTATGTATATTCGTGCGTGCGCAAGACGCTCCCATGCATTTGAAACAAATTCTCGATCGTTATTTAATTAGCTCTTTAGAACAGCGTTTCGCGAGCAAAGGTCGCTCGAGATCACTGTCATTCCGGTAGACAGTGATTTTCGCAGACTAGGGATTATTCGTATTAGAAGCGTAGTAAATTTTAAGGAGTTAACCGGGGATCATAAATTGATTTGAATCTCGCTGATCTCTTTCGAAATGATACAATTTATGTCCATTATACTATTTCCTGTGGTATAAAACATCTTCACCTATGCGTTGTGTGTGTGTATATGTGTATTTTTACAGTACAGCTTTACATCTGAGAGAAATAATTTTTACAGACCGTATTAGACGTTCAACAAATATTAAATATAACGTGCAATAGAAATTATAAGTCAATCTACACGATATATACTGTGCTCGTTATATATTATTGCAATTTGACAAATACACTGTTGCCTCTGCAGGCTTTGGGACAACAAATACAAGCACCAATCTTTTCGGCACCCAACAAAATACCGGGACAAATCTTTTCGGCACGAGCACAGGAACCTCGGCGTTTGGCCAAGCAAACAAGTCCGGTTTTAACTTCGGTACGACATCCGGGACGAATTTGTTCGGACAGCCGCAGCAAAATGCGCAGCAAGCTACTCCGTTTGGTCAGGCCAACACCGCCACAAACACAAATCTTTTCGGTACAACCACAGGTAAGTGCGGGCGCAACTGTCCACATACTTGGGCCAGTAATATTCGAAATTTCAAGCACTTTGATTTCCCTCCACCGAAAAATTCGTATTCTTATTTTAAGTATATTTCACTTTTAGAATATTTTCTTCTGAAATAAGCATCAAGAGGATCCTCTTCGTTTAAGAGAGGAATCCTCTAAACAGGATATTCTTATCAGATATTCTTAACATGTAAGAATATATACTTAATGATATGTTTTCTTACGAAATATATTAATTAATATCTGGGATTATAAATCGTTCTGCAAAATAAACAAAACAGTTCTGCAAAATAAACATTTACTGTTTATTATAATTGTACATACATAGCTGAATATTATTGTTTGTAATTTATACAGGGTGCTCCCGGATTAAATGGCCAAACTTGAAAGAGGTATTTAGGACCTCAAAGCAAGACAAATTTTCCTTTGGAAATATGCTCGTAAACGTTCCGTTCACGAGATATTGACTTCTGAAGTTATGAACTGTTAGGAATGAATAATTTCGAAATAATTTAGATTTATCCTCTTTATTGCTTTTTAATAATAAAAATTTAATTATTAACTTTTTGTTCAAAATGATGGCCTCCAGCTTGGAGACATGCATTGCACCTATCGATGACAGAATGAGTGGCAGACTGGCATTGTGCGTCTGTAATTTCGTTACACGCCTGCACTATCTTCCGTTTTAATGATCTGGAGATCATTAACAGGCACTTCATATCAGTTTATTCGACGAAAGCATTTAACGAACTAAGTACGATGATACAACGCTTTGTTTACCATGCAAATGAAAGCCTATCAATGACCTTCGATTTCGTAAACAAAGTTCCATCGTACTGAATGTTTTGCGATTAGTTTTTAAATCAAATAAATTATGATTTACAATTCTCGCAAAACATTTTATGGACAGATGAAGCCATATTTACCAGACAAGGAATTCTGAATCAAAAAAGTAGTCATATTTCTAAATTATTCATTCTTAAAAGTTCATAACTTCAGACGTCAATATCTCTTGAACGGAACGTTTACGAGCATATTTCCAGAGGAAAATTTTTCTTGCTTTGAGGTCCTAAATACATCTTTCAAGTTTGGCCATTTAACCCGGGAGCACCCTGTATATTAAAGTTTATAAATTTTATCTATGAATAAAATTTTATCAATTTTATTTTAGCTTATCGCTTAACGTATATGTATTAAATTTATTAAAATGTAACACACATATGTGTATTACATTTTACATACATTACAGAATGTGCCTGAAAGATATGTAAAAACTGTTGATTCTGGTAGGAAGATTAACAGGATCCATGAGCATTTTTATTTTATATATTTTATTTTATATTTCAAATACTTACTCATAAATATCTCGTTCAGATCGCTTAAATCTTCCTCTTTTAACCACTCAGCTACTTTTTCATCCATTGTTCGTGCCAGGACACACAAAGAATACCCGAAACATGGAAGAGGCACTCGTAGTAACACGTACCGACACGCACTGCACGGTGGATATCGTGCATACGAAAAACAAATGCCATCGCTAAAATTGTCTCACAAATAATACATTCTTAAATTAAGAATGTATTCTTAATTTAAGAAAGTATCCCATAAACCGTGATGTTAAAAAGGAAATATTCGTATTCATTAAGAATATTTATTAAAAGGACTTATAAAGTATAATTTTAAGAATACAATTTTTTCGTTGTCCGTACAGGTTTCGGCAATACTAATCCGACTACCGTGCCACTTGGCACTGCGGTGAAATTCACGCCTGTCATTACAACTGACTCAATGTCGAAAAATGGAATATCGCACAGTATCTCGGCCCGTCACTGTTGCATCGCGTCTATGAAGGAATATGAGTCCAAATCTTACGAGGAGTTACGCTTCGAAGATTATCAACTTGGCAGGAAAGGTATAACCTTTTGCCAGGGCTGGGTAACCATTCGAAATGGTTCCATTTTAAATATGTATTTAAAATGGAAATGGCATTTTGCATTTTCTATTTTAAATGCTTTTGGAAAACCATTTCTCTTTTACATTTGAAATGGAAATTTTATTACATTTAACCATTTGTAAAATGGGTAAATCGTTTTTCTAAGCGCTCACAAATTTCGCTTAGCGTCATTAACGCATAAAGGCGCAATTTCATGGACGCTAGAAACCAGCGACAAATGAGGTCTAGTGACTTCTCGACGTAGTGGGGGAAAAAGTTGAGACCGTCTCAGCTTTTCCAGTGTG